GTGAGGGGTTATTTGATTTCGGGATTTGTCCGAACCTTGATTTCAACCTTAGGCTGAACTAGAGTTAGTACTTAACTAAAATAACACCTTGAGAACTCCAAGAAAGTGTGCCGAAGGGCAGCAAAGCTCTCTCAGCGTAGGAAATCATACGATTCTCACTATCGTCACGTGTTTTTCAAGAAACTTTCATAAAAAAGCGAAGTTCACAAGCCTTTTTTAAAAATTACGTTCTCATGAATTAAATAATACGTACCAGTTAAATGATTCAGGAGAGCTGCAGAACTTCGCTTGGGCTGGCAACACATTGATGTTATGGTATGTTGACCGAAACGGCGTGAACATCGTTTTCAGTTTCAATTCCAGTGGGACGACAGGTGCTGAAATGCAACTTCCCCATGACGCCCAATTATGGCGGATAAAAAGAAATGCCTGACGAGAACTACGGAGTTTGAGAGCAATGGATTGTGAACCACAAAGGAGATGCGGATCCGCAAGATGGCTGACTCAATGAGATCACCAAAGTCAAGGGAAATCTAAAACATCTATCGTATTCATAGCGTTTCGATAAATACTTTCCTTAACCGTTGACTGTTATAGAAAATTTATTTAGAACTGCAGAAATTTCATGACCTCAGCAAGAAATAACAAATCAAACAAATATAACCTAAGTCTATCTTTCACCTAACAATTTCAAAATAGTATGAACAATAACAATGCGAAAGAATAGGATCAAATACCGCGGTACTTGTTATCGTAATCCACCTTCAATTGCTTAATCTTTTCCGCATCTTCTTCACCAGCCAGTCCAGCCTTTTTGTCGATGTAATCGCTTTTTGGAAGGCCATACAGTTCCTCCAGTGACATGAGCCTTGACCAATGTGGGTATAACTTTCTTCCAGTTGGTGCGAGTTCATCTGACCACTCTTTTTTCGCTCTGCAACAAGAAACAAGACTTCAAGTTATGAAACCGATAAATTACAACTCAATGAATAGGTCGTAACAATATCGCAATACTGCGATATTTATAACGAATGAACTGCGTATAAAACTTTAATCACCCATTATTATCATTATCATTATCCCTCTAACCATTTGGAGGCAATGCGAGTTTTTGGGCACCACAGCAATCCCTAACACATTAGGCTGGCGCGGCCGCGGGAACGTCGGCGCGAGTTCGGCCGGTGCTTCGCAACCGTGAAACGCACATCAATGGTTCCCGCAAACTGTGCTGTTCCTGACTTCGAGGGCACCACCATCAAACTTCGCGCGTGCGCCGTCGGGCCTGCCCTAATGGTTAGGTATTGTCTGGGGGCCGAGTTTTTGATAGAGGGTGCACGAAAACAGCCATTCTTAGCATCGAAATGTCACTCAACTTGGGTAGCGTTATTCCTAAAGTAGTTTTAGTCAAAGAGTTTTTGAATTTAGTAATGTACATATAGAATTTGCCTTTTTGCTTGATCCATGTAACATACGGTTTGGGTCTAGGGACGAAGGAAACGCACTTTTCGCATCTTCGCGACCGCGACATTCGTGCGGCAGGCGCTGGCCATCTGCAGCCGTCGATGAACAATATCGGTAGGAAGAACTGCGCGATTGAGGCCTTTTTTTTCGGCTTTGATTGCGTACATGGAGTTGGAAGCTTAATAGCCCATGGATTTGATAATGAACGAGGAAATGGTAACCAGAAGTGGGCCGCTAACTAGCAGTGAAGAGGGAGGTAGGTTATTTTTGCAGAGATGGATGGTAGAGCTTCTGGAGAACCTGGAAGAGGAATGGTTGATGGACGTTTGATGAGACGACTGTAAACTTCTGCATAGGGGTTATTTGGGGCCCTGATCATGAATATGACACTCATTTTTCACATTCGTGCTGTTTAACGCATACTTTCTGCTTTTCTAAGCTTTCTCACCTACAGCGCCTACGACTAAGCTTAGGGGAGGGGAGTGAAACTCCGGAGTGGGTAAACCACGCACCGTGTGGCAAAAGTTGGAGTGTGTCACACCACAGGGGAATGGCCTACCCACTTTGGAGCCCTACACTACTCAAAGGCTTAGTCCTATTGCGATCTAATTAGTGCGAGGGCGCAGACGAGCAGGAAGCAGGCGCCGAATAGCGCTAACAACAAATCAGGACCCCGAATAACCCCTATACAGAAGTTTACAGCGAATTTAGTGGGAATCAGTTGTGGCGCCACCCGGCCCCAAATGGCGCCAGCGTCAAAATGAGTATCATATCCGTAATGAGGACAGAAGCGTTTCCGTAAAAGATGTTATACCCTTATGCAGAAGTCTATACAACAATATGAACCCACAAAATGCAAGCACAAGCGGCACCTATTAAACCCTCGTTCACCGATAATTAGTAAATTACAATCTTAGTCATTGTGTGGCATCGCCCGGAATCGTGTAAGTCACAAAACGTTTTCAATAATGAGGCAGAATTAGTGATTCACCGCATCTTATCAATACAATGGGTGTGAGCGCGGGCAAGTTAGGAATCAGAAACTTACAAATTCACGCATGCAAAAAAGCTGCTCCAATCGCGCGTTCTTCCATACCGTAGTTGTCTTCGCTGCGGGTGCGCCAGCCTGCCGCGCGATGTCGCGTTGCGATGAGCGAAAAAGTCGCGTTCTGTCCTAAGTACCCACACCCCGTACACATAGCTAGTTTTTTTAAAAAAATAATATAGAGATCCATGAGTAACCCAACCTGTTACGGGCAGCCTAAAATCATGCATCGTGGATATAATTAGATACGCAGAAGTGAAATTCGAATTTGGAAGGCAAGCAGAATAAATTCCAAAAGTTGGCGTATACCATAAATTTCGATACAATTCCTCCCTAGATCTGAAAACTATAAAAAGCCGAAGAAGTTCTGGTCGGTGACTAACCTGCTTGCTGTCGAAAACTAGATTGTTACAAATGTTTCAAATGGCGGGAAAAGAGAAGTTAGGGGCATCCGCCAAGTGGTGCTATTTTCGTTAAACTGCTAGCTCTACGCAGAGGTGGTAAGGAGCATTAAGTTCGATCAAACTGAATAGTGCTAAAAGCACAATGATAGCAATAAATGAAGAGAGTAATGGAGCTTCCGATAACACGAAATTCTACAAACATCTATTCACAGCAAATTCTATCCTACAAGAACTCGCCACTCCAGAAACAGGAGCCTCTGACCTAAACTGAGAAGGAAAGCTGCTTTTTAAAGCAACACCCCCACATCGAATTAACGGGATCACAGCGGTTGATAATGAAGTTGTGGAAGCTGCAAATAAAACCGACGTTGAAGCCTTAAGCGAGGATTCCCCTGGAATGGGGAAGGGCGGGACCAGACAAAGTGCACGAATTTGCCTGGTCCACGGCTCAACTAGCCCACACGTATTTGAATTGTAAGACCCTAGCGCCATTGTCGCGCACTTTCGAGCCGCGACAACGGCACATCTGTGCTACTCGTGGGCTAATCTATCCCACCACTGAACAGGTTCTTCGACACGACTTCTGATGGGGGTGTTGCGTTAAATAATGGCATGTGTAGCTATGCATTCGCTCAAGAACAAAGAGGTTTGTAGTACAAAACCAAACTGCTCCCTTCTTCAGCCACATGGCACGAGAGCACTAATAAGGGGAATCAGATAGGACGTATATTGGAAAGTCCCACATGATCCGTGATATCACTAGAGGAGACCATCAGAATATGTATCAGCTTCAAAAATGAGGCGGGAATGTGACAAAACTCCAGGATTTCCTCTCATTCACAGATAAAACGTTGCAAAATTTGTTAGTAATGAAAACACTAAAAAACTGATAACTGGATCATAAAGTAGCAACGCCTGGATGAATTTGTTGCTGCTCTTTTAAAGTGCGAACGAGACTTCGTTACGTGCTGTATATTTGTAAATGAAAAAAAAACATCCAAATCATTTGTAGAAATAACATTTAGAAAACAAAACCAGTAAAATGATTGGCATAGATAATTCAACCCGAAACACTCACGCTGCAATGGTTTCTTCAACGTATTGCTCAGGTTTGAATGACTCCAACTCAGCCAAATGAGCTTTCATACGTTTGACAAATTCACGTTCCGCCTAAAACTGACATTTGACATCTACAGATCCTACCATACACATGCTCGCAATAACAGCGAAACTCACCCTCAGCTTTTTCTCCTTATGATACTTCTGGTACTTGAAGTAATCCCTATCGTAGCGTTTTCTTCTCTTATGCTTTTTCATTTTCTTTCTTCGTATTGTGAGCAGCCGAGGGGCCAGATAGATCGCCACGGTAGGCATAACAGGAGGTGCTTCTATTGGAGCCTAGAACAGATAACTGAGTACAAAGCCCGATTACGTGACTACTTGAACTCTCCCCTATGTTCTCTGCCGCGAAAGGCCAGAGCACAGACGATTAGAGAACGGCGCCTGGCTCGGCTCCAAATCCCAAGAAGGAAGGTGAGAGCTTAGGACTAAGCCTTGGAAGGAGGAGGGACTCCGGAGTGGGTGAGCCAATTACATTGTGGCAAAGTTTGAATGTGTCAGATCACAGCAATCATAAGCCGCTGTTCAGGCGAGAGAGCGCGCAGGTGCGAGCATCGAATCGAGGCGGCTTGAAGGACCGAGTTCAAGTTGTCCGTAGACCACAACAGCCCCTTCGTACAAACATTAATGAACACAGTTATTCCAGTGAGCGACAACCACCATTTTATTGCTAAAAAAGGAAGGTAGCTGAGGCCCACAAGCACAACTAGGGAGAAAAATCGAGCGCATTAATAGGGAGGTAAAAGAGTCGAGATCAAACCGCTCCGGACTCGATGCAGCGAGAAGCCTTCATTTCCTTGCATTTTAACCAGATAAACCTCGTGCAAATAATCACGACATAGTACTTACAAGAGAAAATGAGCTGAAATTTCGGTAATCAAGTAAAAAAAAAAGCACACCTTTTCGGGGAATGGATCCATCTTTTCAAGAATATCATGTAAAAATGGAGAAGGAGCTATCACTGGAGATCTGTCTAGCGTTGGAAATGTGTACACCTTAAAAAGAAGAGCTTAGTTCTAGAATCGCCACAATATTTCAGAAACTTTCGCACCTGTCGACTATTTTCCAGAGCCGGCAATTCGTAGGGCACATTGGGTTTATGACCACCTGCACTAGGACTTTGGGACGATTCTGAAAATATCATTACATTCACATGTGACGATAATATGACGAATTCAATATCAATATTCAATGTGACGGATTGTAGGCCCTTGGAAGATAAGTGCTTGTTTAAGCCCTGACCCAACTCTAGCGCTTCAGAAATTACTGGGGAAACGCAAGATCGATATCGTTGAGGAGCCCCTACGTGGTACACAAGCTCGGGAATAGGATTGTTCGCTACCGCGCTAGTAATGGGGCCTTGTGTCAGCGACAAAATATGTTTGTGATTCAGTGTAATGCAGGCCGCAGGGCCTCACTTCAAGCCACAGCTACATCAACAGCTGCAATTGCTTGAGGATGCCTCAGTGAACACTCACCCTCGATGTGGTTAGCTAGGAATAGAAAGTTACTTCATTCGCGTTCGCATGCGCAAAAGCAGTTGTCCGCTGAGGATCTCTCAGGCAGTCCACGATCAGCGTGAACCTGAGGTTGCCTAGAGCGGAAAGTTTGCGCGCAAAACGCGAAGAAGTCGGCTTTCTGCCATAAGCGAACCCACATCTCAAACCTCCCCTCATGGCAGAGAATATTAAAATAAATGGGTCTCATCCGGTAAGAGGGGCATTGCGGTGCACGGTCTGCTCTAATGCCAATTTGGCTCAAGGAGTCCTTTAAAGTTACGAGCTGCTATCAGCTTTTTTCCTATGTTATTTCTTCAGGTGTTTTGTGTATGTATTCTTGTACTAGATGACATTAACGTCTACGAGAAGTGAAATTCACCTAGTTAGCAGGTCAGGACTAAGCCCAGGAGGGGAGGAAGTCCCCCGGGGAAAGCCAAGATTGCTCACGGATCCGGGGACTCCTTCCCTTCTAGGGCTTAGTCCTGAACGTCTACAATAAAATAATGTGCTTTCCATGGTTTGAAATGCTCTAGATCGCTATGCCCCCTTACTGGATGAGACCCAAAAATTGGACCAGTTGTGGCAATCGCAGCACAGGACGCGCACAAAAGTATAGTGTTTTGACTAGATAATGAATAATAGAGAAACAAAATAGTCTGATGCAAATTAAGTGCTAAAAATCATTCACTAAGGTGAATACTCTTACCGGGATTTGGCGCTATCCGATCGTTCCTCAAGGACGGAACATATAATCCTGATGATGAAGGTCCGTGGAAGTCTGAAATGATAGAAGCTACAGCATAAGACAAATCAGTAAATATATTTTGAACCAGTTCAACGAATAAACATACTGTGGATTCCTCGATTGACACCCAATTGTGAAAATTTCTTAATCAATAGAGTAAGAGGTCGCATCTTCCGCTTTTCCTTCCAATTTCTTGCCCACTACGGTTTCTTGGTCATGTGATTCTGAAAAGTAGGAATCACGTTTTGAGAACAAATGAAACAACACAATACGCAATAACAGGAAATAAAACTGCTTCGCAAAAATACTGAGGAGGCGAATAAGGCCCTGTTCAGAGATGTCCGCTTGCGCGAAAAAACGCATAGGCGAAACAATGTGAAATATGTATCGACTGAACGAAGACGCACAGGCGAATCGTGAAGTGGGAGGATCGACGAAAATGAGTATCATACGCATCGACTTACGAACGCTTCGCTCACGCGATTTTCCGCCCTGTGCGTTTCTCACAGTCGATACATATCAAACTCTTGACTGAAATTCGCCTGCTCCGGACGTTTCGCTTACGCGTTTCACAATTTCTCAGTCGATGCGTATCTAAATCTTGGCGGAGATTTTCGCCTGTGCGTTTTTTCGCGCCGGCGGACATCTCTGAACAGGGCCTCGTACAGATGTATCGCCGCCGCAAAGTGTCTGCCGACCGTTATACGAGACTAGCGTTGGCTAGGTGAACGGAAAAATACGCGAGGCGAACTTTCTCGCCCAGAGATTTTATTAATGAAGAGATCTCCTTGATAGGATCAACTCCACAAGTTGAGTGAGCGCTGTCGTTAAAAAGTCATGCTCAGATTTGTGTTAAAAAGAGGATCGTGAAAATTGTAGGTCGGAGAAGCGGAACTACCCTTCGAAACCTTCAAGGCTCTATCAGGGGCTCGTAGGCTGCTTCCCCGAATGCTTGCGGGGACGAAAGTCCCTTTAAATTTTTGTTTTGAACGACACTGTTTCTTTATTTTCAATGCATGTTTACTTTAAGCAACACACATATATTAAATGTAGGCCCTTTATCAGGACAATCCCAGTTGGGACGACAGAGAAAATTTAAGGGATTTTTCGTCCCCTAACCCTTCGGGGAAGCATACCTTACGGCCCCTGGGCGACGCCCGGGCGATGATCAGACTTCGCTGTCGGATTCTGGCCGCGACACTGGTCGTTTTAGTAGGCGAGCGAGCATAGCTTCTACGTTGGTGGGTAGCCCAAGAGATTCGCGGGATACGGAAATCAGAGGAAAGAGAGGTTTCCATTTTCCAGGTTCCTAGGCCGTTATTATTTGTTTTTCTTATCTCTTATACCCAGATTAGTCCCCCGTCAACCGCCGGGACCTTCCTTTCCTGCGCAAGCTTTCTATCCTCCGCTATGGTCCCTTCCTCCTGTGACACCAACACCTCCTGGAAGTGACGCGTATGCAACACAATGGTGTTTCATACAGTAGAAGGGACACAATCATGATATGACGGTAGATTTTTCGCTTCCCTTCCTCATCCTCCCTTCCTCTCTCCACTGCCCTCCAGCTGCCACTGCAGCACCATGTGGAATGAACGGAAGTGTGCTAAGCAGGTGTTTATATAGCCCTAAGAGTGTTATCACAACTATCCTGCTACAAAACATTGATATCTCAAATCCTGTAAGCTACCCGATTTGTTAGCGGTTTGTTTATCCCATGAGCTTCCTTCTCACTCACTTCATTTTGCGGACGGACACACATACATACATACACACACACACACACACACACACATACAGATACACAAACCGACACACAAAGTTAGCGCTTTATATAATAGAAGGATACGATTCTCTATCTGAATTTTTGATAGACCTAGTCATTTTTATTTAAAGCGGCGTTTAATTTCTATTTGTTCCGACCTGTAGTAAATAAGAGCATATCGCATTTGTCATGTCCCTTTCGGATGGTGGTGGCTGGCGGGTGCTGCGCGAGAATTTTATGTGCCAAGCTATTGATAATATGTGTAGATGGAGTTGGAGTGGTATGGGTCATCATGCGACAAAGCACTCTATTAACTCATATTACGCATCCGAACTGCTGCGACTCTGCTCGCCAGCGCCCCACCCCTGCTTGCCTCTTCGCGTCTCTGTAATCTCTTACCTCCTCCTCATCAGGATCTCATACAGATACGCGCTCTCCTCATGCACTGATCATAGGAATTCTCTGAAGAAAAGACTTCAAAGAATTCCTATGATTCCAACAGTTTCTTTTCCTTCTTTTTCTCTTTCAATGTCGGGATTCAAAGAAGTCACTCTTTCATGCCTACACTTCATTACCATCATCCCTGGAATATATCGTAGGTATGAAACGGACGGAATATGCGGCTCCCCTAGAATGGACTAACATGGGTGGAGAGGTGTATGAGACGCAAGCGCTACATATGACCCGTGTTGGAAGAGGGGGGGGGTTTGGGAAATTCAAACAGGGCATCTAGAAGTTAGTAGTGACATGAGGACCAAGCAGGAGAGGGAGAAACACCAAAGTGGACGAAATTGCTCACATTCTCCCCGGAATCCCTTCACCTCTAAGTAGTCCCGAGTACTGTAAGGGGTTCACTTACTCGAATGTCTCCTCCACCCAATATCAGCACCAGGCGCCATTCACACGCGCACAGTCCTTAGACCAAATCCTGGATGGAGGCGCTCGCAGTCGCGCTGCCAACCACGTCTCTTCAGGAGTTGGTTACTTGGTACCAGGCTCATCTAGGAGGAGCAACCAAAGAGAAGTGCAAAAGCAGTCAGGCTGAAGTAAGGATGAGAAACTCTGGAAGTATAAGGACGTGAGTATAAGGATGAGCGGGGATGATACGGCAGACTGAAGTTACTTTGATAACTCGGTGAGATTGGCCTTGAGTAGGTTCATTGATGACTGCATGGTCTAGACAGGCGGACGGTGGTATGTTTCAAAGGTGCTCATGTCGCTTGTTTGAATAACTTTCACGTTGCTTCAGCACCAAATTGTTGACAAATGGAAGAACATAAGGAAGATCGACTCTCATCAAATGAGCGCATCGAAAAAGGAAAGGAGGCAGGTGGTTCCAAAGATGGAAGAATAGGTTCCAACGAAGGGAGAGAAGCAATAAGTTCAAAAGAAGGAGTGGCAGGTTCCAAAGAAGGGAATGAAATGAAGGTCGCAGCCTTGGGATCCAACGAAGGAGTAGCACATGCAGAAGGATCTGCTGAACCGCATGTGAAACTCATAGGTTCTAATGAAGCTTATGATTCGGCTCGGGTGAGTACTAGCGGTTAAGGAGGAGAATTTTTGTCGTGGGCATAAGAACTAAGGGTGTTCCAAGTTTATTAACCCGAAGGTTCATGCTCGGGAAGAAGCTTCCCACGTGGGTTTCCGTGCTGGAAGAGTTGAGCCTTTGCTCACTTCATCAATGAATGCTGTGCTCTGCCCATCTGCTAAACGTACTGGAGACCGGTTATGAAATTAAATGGATGACGCTGCCAGGCGGAGGGCGGATGGAAGCACGAAGGCGTCTAAATGATCGGGTGAAGCCTTGCTAGGCCGATGTCAGACTTTGCGAATCGAGCGATTCGCTATTAGCGATTCCGCGGTCGCGTTGCGGTACCAGCCAATTGAGTGATTCACTGGCCGCGACGCGACCGCAGACGCTAGCGAATCGCTCGATTCGCAAAGTCTGACATCTGCCTTCACGTCGGCACGAGCGCCAAAAGACCGAGAAGGAGCGCACATTCGAAGGAAGGGGTCCTTGTAGCGACGAAAAAGAGCAACACCCGTCTTTTCTGCACTCATGAGTTTCGCTTGATGGAGTGGGGGGAGGGGGGGGGTGGTCAGTGGAAAAACTAAGATCCTGTTGTGGGGTTTCTCCACAGCTGCACCTCTGGACAGCTTTGCCTTCATCCCAACGAGGACCAAATTATTGTACCACCTGCTTTTGAAGGAAGTGAAGATGAGAGGCGTAGCGGTGTTAATGACGTCATTGGGTGTTCTTGACGGAAACGTGTAGGAGGGAGGGGGGAGAGAGAGAGTGCGCAACGCTCTAAATCACAATCATGCTTTTCTCTGAAGTGCTTCTCAACATGTTGTAGGGGAGCATTACATATGCTGCTTTCCTGGAACTAAAGAAGTAGGTGGTGGTCCATCACTTATTTATAAACCAGATTAGTCCCCCGTCAACCGCCGGGACCTTCCTTTCCTGCGCAAGCTTTCTATCCTCCGCTATGGTCCCTTCCTCCTGTGACACCAACACCTCGTGGAAGTGACGCGTATGCAACACAATGGTGTTTCATACAGTAGAAGGGACACAATCATGATATGACGGTAGATTTTTCGCTTCCCTTCCTCATCCTCCCTTCCTCTCTCCACTGCCCTCCAGCTGCCACTGCAGCACCATGTGGAATGAACGGAAGTGTGCTAAGCAGGTGTTTATATAGCCCTAAGAGTGTTATCACAACTATCCTGCTACAAAACATTGATATCTCAAATCCTGTAAGCTACCCGATTTGTTAGCGGTTTGTTTATCCCATGAGCTTCCTTCTCACTCACTTCATTTTGCGGACGGACACACATACATACATACATACACACACACACGCACTATACTCGAGATCCGTAAGTTGGGGTAGGCGTGTCACCGGAAGTGACGTGTACTTGATAGAATCTATGTGGATAAGGCTTCCAATATACATCGCGATATCAGCAAAGCATGCTGGCAACAGCTTATCCACGCAACTTCTATCAAGTGCACGTCACTTCCGGTGACACGCCTACCCCAACTTTCGGATATCGACTGTACATACAAACCGACACACCAAGTTAGCGCTTTATAAAATAGAAGGATAAGGAATTTTTCAGCTGTTACGTATATGCTATCCTCCCCGAAGGGGTTAGGGACGAAAATTCCTTTAAATTTTCTCTGTCTTCCCAACTGGGATTACCCTGATAAAAGGCCTACATTAAATGTATGTATGTAGGTTAAAGTAAACATGCATTGAAAATGAAGAAACTACATCGTTCAAAGCAAATAAATTTAAAGGAAACTTTGCGTCACCTAGCTTCGGGGAAGGATAGCATACGGCCCTCGGTCTGCTGGCCATATCTCAAGGGGCGCTATGGGCGTTTATGTCGTTGGGAGTGTGG